TTGGTGTTAGACACTTGAGTTGTACATGTGATCGAAATCGTTGTCAAAAATTGTCGGCATTTAAAGCAACATATTCGAATTCGGCCTCGATGTATCGAGTTCGCATCAAATTCTAGAAAATTTTGTTTTTGGCCGGTATTTGAAGCCCCATAAATCATAAAGTCCCGCCTTGTTTACTTCAACTTTTATATATGTTACTTGTCACTATTATTGATATTCAAAATTACTGTTAAAAGTTGTCGGCACTTTGCGGATCATATTCGAATTCGGCATCGAATCATTGAGTTCGCACGAAATATAGCAAAATCTGATTTTTCGTCAATTTTTGGTGGTCCATATTTAGTTAAGTTTTGTTCTGCTGATGATCATACTTTGGTGTTAGACACTTGACGTGTATTTGTAATTGAAATCGTTGTCAAAAGTTGCCGGCAATCAAAGCAATATATTCGAATTCGGCCTCGATATATCGAGTAAGCAACAAATTTTAGAAAATCTTGTTTTTTGCCGGTATTTGAAGCCCCATATTTCATAAAGTCCTGGTTTGTTCCTTTCAACTTTTATATATAATACTTGTCACTATCGATACCATTCAAAATTACTGTTAAAAGTTGTTGAATTTTGCAGATCATATTCGAATTTGGTCTCGAACCCTGAAGTTTGCATGTAACATATTTTTTGCGATATTTTTGTGTTCCCATCAAATGTACTATTTTTTTATTTCGTAATTTTATTTTATTCTGCAAACATATTCTTATACGTTTCAGTGTTTCTGTTTTATGTGATATACAGTTATGTATGTTGTAATCACCACTACCAGCTGAATCTGCTTATATTTTATTTACTTATATTTTGGTCCGAGTTGTTTCCTTCGGAACATATCATTCCGAATAGGATCCATTTATTTTTTTAAAAATATTGTAATTTGAGGTATTTTCCGCATGGGAACCGGTTGAAAACTGCAGAATATTTTTCTGCTGAAATTCTGCTGGATTCACAGTGGTTATCAAGAGCATATATACAATGAGTGGAAACTTCCGAATATTTGCTCATTAATCCATGTACCCTGCATTTTTACGTCGTCCAGCTAAATGGTTCGTTGCATATGAAGAAAGCACATCGTTCGCTGCAAAAATCCCTTGTTCCAGCTGGGTCGAGTGCGAAATTGGCCGTATTGAGGCTTTTAATTTTTCGATTCGTGTTCGGTTTTGGGTTTCAAAGTATGGTACGTTGAAAGCATACTAACTACAAGCATATGCATATTGGGAATACATATCTATTAGGCAGAAAAACGTAGCTACAGAACAGAATATGAATCAGTCGCCACGTGGGGTGCGGTTATGCTGTATTTATTCATTGATATAAAATGGGACTTACATATTTATCCAGGGGGAGAGGAAAGCCGAAAGCCTAATAAATGGCGAACCACGGCCTCTCCAAATAGCTCTGTGCTCCATATGAACCCCCAGGCTGCCTGAACTTTGTAAGCTATTCGTATACTTATTAAAAATACTGATTTTAACTATAAATTACTCTGGGATATCTTGTCATTGAAATTTAAAATTTGCCATTTTCATGTCTTGTGAATTTACACAAAAAAGTTTGTTTCTTATTTTATTATTTAGAGTACATTTTGTTATAAATTAGGATTTTTGCATGTATATTATTTAATTTTAACGATCCTTCATATAGTCATATATATATAGATACTGTTGATTTGGATGCAATTATACTTTTGTAATAGTGAGATATAGAATTTGAACAAGGGTCGCAGCCAGGATTTTTCCAACGGGGTGGGGGGCATACGGTGAAATTAAAACATTGCGCCAAAAGTTCAATTCACAACGGCGTGAGGCGTGTAATAAATTAAAAACAATGCGTCGTTCACAGCGAAATTCCACAGTCACGTGTAGCTCGCCTCTGTTTTCTTGACGGTGTTTGGTGAATATATACAAAAACACGCTAGCGTGTAGCGCCGATCGAATCATGAAATGTGGAAATTTTACCTGGGATTTAATGCTAACAAAGTTGATTTTTTATTGTCATTTATTGTTAATTTACATGCGCCGTGATTAGTGGTGGGCAAACCGTATTTTTTTATATAAAATTATTCGAATATTTTAACGACAACTAATATTTTAATAGACAACTATTAAGGAATGTATTCACAACAAAAATTAATTTTATTCTGATTTTTATCTTCTGTGTTGGATTTGTATCACAGTTACGGTCCCAATTTTGAGCAAACAATATTATCATTACTGACCCCGGGATGCGATATTTGTGAAGCTGATAGTTGACATTTTTATGTTTTAATTTTATATCGTTTCCGTGTTACTTTCATATTAAATAATAATTAAAAAACTCCGCAAATTGGTAATCTCTGGAATACTCAGTGTTGAGTATTCACGTAACTCATCTTTGGTTTAAAACACTGATACTTAACACGTGAATAAATCAGCAATAATGGCATTACTACGTGATCAAAATATTATTTCTCCGCAATATCTCGGGAAATTTGCATAGAATACATTATTCACATGCCTTGCTTATCTAATTAAACGTCTCTAAATTTACAAAGACGATTATTGACGCGATTTACTCAAAATAAGAAATTGAAAAATATGATGGCGCAAAATTGATACAAAATAAAAAATTCTCACATTCATCGTTTCTGTCTGTTGGCGATAGCCGTCGGTAAATTTTACGTAACTCGTTGTAAATTTATGTTAATAAATTCTATTTTGCTTTTCAATGCGCCCTGCTTTGTATTAAAATAAAAGAAATCGGGAAGAGAATGTCCTGAAATTAGCTCAAAACCCTTCTTTCATTTCGAACGGCCATAACGGCGGTTACATACGCGTTACTGAATAACAATCAACAATCACGCATTTTTATTTGTCATTATCAGCGCCAACTAAAAAAATAACATATCGTAAAGATAAAAATATATGGCTGTGTTAATTGCGCTGCGGTGACAATACGCAGAATAATATCGTTTTGTCGAAACCATAATGCGCGACCGTAAAACGACGGTGCTGCTTTTTTGTGGAAGAAGTTTCGCATGAAATTTTTTTCTCAAACCAAAGGGGGGGGGGGGTTAAGACCAGTGGTGGGATTTAGCCCGTTCTATAGAACCGTCTCACTGAATTTAATGTTATAATTTTAGGCATTAAGAACCTCAGTAAATAATGACTTGTGATGTATATTTATTCATGGGCTATTCAGGATTTATCTATTTATTTTTATAGGGAATCTATAAGGCAGGGGCAGCTTATAAGTTACACAGCTTTTCTGGAATCTCCGTCTGCTGTTGGCATTTTTGTACAATGAAGGAGTTTGAAATAAATTAACCATCCAATCTCATTACACCTAGGTCTCGATTAAACCATGCTGAATATGCAACCATTGAAAGCAAATTAAGCTGTAACTTATCACAAATATGCATTATTATTTCCACAGTTTTCCAATATGGTCAGAATTTTTAAATGAAGGCAAGATGTTATCGATCACAAAGAAAAAACGAACCACCTCATTCATTATTTGTGACTTTGCGGCGGTACAATGTACTGACTGCTACTTGCTCTTGTACAGTGGGAGAAGCAAGTTGCTGTCATTCTTTAGCATTGTTGTACTGCACTGTGCATTTCAGCAATCTCCAACTAAAGAAAGTCCCCCCAGCTATCACTGGCACTATGCAATTACAATCATGGCATCTTCCAAGAAGCGAAGGATTCAAGCAGCTGCCTATCCAAAAAATTATTATTCAAAATCTATGTTCGAAATCCATCAGGACAATTCGCAGCACTCTACACAAACCTGGAAGAATCCCGCAATGGCAGAGCTTTCTAAATTTTAGTCAATATAATATTCAGTTAAATACAATTTTGCCGTCAAATCCATCTTCTGTTGTAAGTATTTCAACAAATTTTGGACAAGCACCATGTGGGAGTCTTTGAGTCTAGCATATCAGCAGATATGTGATGAGAAAAGTTTTGAATGACAAAGTGATTAAAAATCTGACTTTGGGCAGAGAAGATTGTAAACACATTGAATTTATGACTCGAAATCAGTATAACTCTCCGATTTGGCACCAACAACGAAAATTTAGAATTACAGCATCCAAATTTGGTCGAATTTATAAACGTGTTTCAAATCTTACTTCTTCCAAATTTTTTCAAACTGAAGCAATGAAAAGAGGTATCCAAATGGAACCAGAAGCAGTAAAATTATACTAGGAAATAAAAAAAAATGCCAGTGTTCCCCATGTGGATTACCAACTTTCATGAACTTTGACCGATGCTGCCAGCTACGTTTTTTGTGCTGTTTAGGGGGACACTCGTTGCGTAGCACGTTTCGTCAGGTTTATACTTGTGCGTTGCTTTGACTTGTTTAAATATATCGTTGTGTGTTAGCGTTTTTTCAACAGTCTTTTCTTCATTTATAGATTGAATACAGATTAGCTTGTATATCTGTTATGCATTTGAGCTGCTCTGTTACACAGTCACACAAATCAGACGGAGCTACTTCAAAAGTGATGGTACTGGCAGACTGGATTTTCTCATTCAGTCATTGCACTGGAATACACTGAGCAGGATTTGCCTGATATTTGGGAGATAAACTTTCCAGAGGAAAAGGATTACATACCTAAGAGCTATCTATGAAATGAAGTACTTTGCAAAGTAATAGTAATCGAAATAAAATTGTATTGTATATTGTAATGAACTGCAAAAGAATGTACCGGTAACTATATGGAGGGAGAAAGCAGCTATCAAGAAAGGAAATTTCATGCATGATTAGGAACCAATCATGTTTTAATAAGAAGATTACAATTAAAAATTAGGAAAAGGAATGATCCCCCAAGTTGTTGGGACTCTGCATAAATGCCCTACTGGATGTGGAATTTGTTTAATAGATGATCGGGGCTGAAATCATTTGGATGCATTCTCAGCACGGTAGACCAGAGGGTGTCAAACTCGCACCTCTCGAACACTCAACAATAATTATGATATTTTTTATTTTTATTAAAAATGAAATTTTACATAAGTTGATTTGTATAAATTGCAATAATGGTGATATGCAAGAAATTAATAAGTGAATGGCATTTGGAATTTAAGGTAGACCTAATTTTTTGAAGAAAGTTATGTCTCAAATTTACAATAAATTGGGATCTGGTCTTATTACACTGGCTTTAGTTGCAACAGCATTAATAAAAAAGAAACAATTTCTTCATTCAAATTTGAACACAATAATATTTTGCTTAATTTAGAATTCCCAACATAATTAGGTTCAAAATATATTGCAACAACACGAGAACACAATTCAACTTTCCCAACCAAGAATGCTTAGCAAGGGTACACTTTGTTTGAACTTCACCACAGCTTTTTTTGATTGTATAATCACCATCTGAAATATATTGAGAAAAACATACATGATGAATAAGGTGCAATGCAAATTTTTGAATATATATTACCTATGTAGAACAGCGAACGAATCATGAACTGTATAAAATGGTGGTGATTTTGGGAATGAAAATGATAGCTTTTACAGTCGCGATGAATTGATTTTGCTTTATAAAATATGACATACCTCAATCACCTCATTCTAAATTTTCTATTTTATAAGGCTTGAATATGTTTCTGTTCTCTGTATTTTTGATGGCCAGGCTGACATTTGTTAGTTGGTGGCAATAAGTTCACCGAGACTGTTTTTCCTATTTCACAGTCAGATTTAAACTGCATCATTTTCTCTTCTCACTTTCAAATCTCATATGTTGGATGTACATGGAGTATAAATTCTGCTTTCGCATTCGTACCTAAAAGTTATGTAATTTTATATTTATTTATTCTTCTGCAAATTAAAAAATATAGCTCGATTTGATGTTCCAAGTGACAATATTTAATAGTTGCCATTATACAGAAGTTCAGCAAATTGATATGCTAAACCGTTTTTTTTCTTTCTCAAAATTACTGTGTCTGTGTCTTATTGTATTTCCCAGACTTTTTTTTATCTCATTCTAAAATTATATGTGATGTTTCACAGGAATCCCCTTGTTGGACAATTTTTTCGAATGACTAATATTCTCTACCGTCACCTTTTTTTATTATTTCAATTTTCGACTCATTTCAAATGTTGGTGTCGCAGACTTATGATGACCCCTTCTGTTTCTTGCGATGAAAGCCACCTGTTTTTAAATTGCGACTAAATCCGTTTCTGTATTCTTTCCTGCATGATGAAATGAACGAAGATAAAAAAAAAATTAATCACTGAATTTTCCCGCCTTATGTTTTTTTTCTCTCTCCCAAATGCTACCGTATATGAATATTTATATCACTCCCTGTTTTGTTGGTAATTTTTTGAATGACTAAGTTTGTCTTTGTATCCATTGCTTTCTTTAATTGCAATTTTTACTTTTGACTCGTCTTAAATCTAGGTGTCGCTGACTTATGATGACCATTTCTGGTCCTTCGCGATTTCCTGTCAATTGCAATGAAATCTGTTACTGTAATGCATAATTTTTTATCTGTTGTGAACTTGTGTTGTGATTTCTGGCACGACGAAATAAACGTATTGTCTATTGTCATAGTTCATGTTTTTAATGTAAATAATATATAGGTTCAGATTCTAATATATAAAATCAAAAAGGCAACGAACATTATATATGTTAAACAGTAATGTCATATCAGTGTTAGAAACTTTGTGTCATTTCACCTTGTATCGAAATATATACTATAATATATGATTGTTTAGAATCAACATGTTTTGTTATTTCATGATTGGAGTCTTTAGGCCCAATGCAATATTTGAAAGGTTTGTCATAGTGTATTTTTGTGAGGTTTCCGATTACAACTTATATTCACCTTATGTAGTCAAGTCAGCAACAGCAAACAGACGTCTTTCAGCCTGTGATTTCGCTCCACAAATTTGCCATCAAGTTACAATTTTTTCTAATTTAGGTATGGACTATCATTTTAAAGGGCTTATATTACAATAGTTTTCATAATTCGGACAAGGTTTTATTTTCGGAACGCGGTAGTAAGCAGTGGCATTGACACAACTAGAAGACTGTATGGCAGGTACCGGACTTCAGTGCTACCAGGTACTGCAGTACTGGTAACCGGACATCCTATCTAATATAGTCAGCATAGTATATATAGTACGGTACCGTATTTTATACCTTCGAAAAAGATATTACGAGTTCCACCTGACCCAGTACACTCCAGGTGCAACATTGGCCCTCAACCAAGCAACAGCTGAAACTCGCGAATGAAAAGCGAAACCGCCACGTCCCCCAAAAGTGAGGTAAAAACAGTGTCTGGCAGCAGCCGTCACGCTCCGATGGTTCGTATGAAAGTCCGTAATTGGTAATATCTTCAACCTGTCTCTGGTCCCCCTAGTTTGAGAATCACTGGTCTATAGGCTAGTTGATTAACTAACTGTTCCTAGCATACTCGGTGGTATTCTGTCTTCGAATAACTGATATTCTTTCACCCTTCTGATTGCTCGTTCTACGTGGACTCTAAGTGAAGCAATCTTGCTGGACCGCAATGCCTCATCATATTCGAACCGCCCGTTAAAGTTGAATGGAGGAATATTTAGACCCACACCTTTCACTTCCAAGAGACTCCTGATGGCAAATCCTTTGTCGCACATTACAGAATCCCCTCTTTCAAGCAAACTCAAAATTCCAGATCTCCGGGTTATTTCACTGTCTGATATGCTACCGCAAAATAATAAACTGACAAAAGTTATTGGACCATGGGGAGCAATACCCAATAAACATTTTAATGTTGTACGGTTTTTATAAAATGAAAAAAACTCCCTTTGGAGCATGAGTGAAGATGGTGACTGGCATAAAATTTCACAACAGTCAAGGACTATGCGTGTAGGTCCATAACCTTGGTTTTTGAAACACTGTGGCATATTTTCATAAACCTGCTCACGAGTAGGCCAAATTGGGATAGACGCCAAGGTAAAATAAAGAAAATTAGCCCATGTGATAACTATCCGAGAGACAGTGGATTGTGATATGCAAAAAACATCACTAAGATGGATCTCATCAAAGCCCTGTCTCAGACGACACAAAAATAAAAACAGTTCATCAGCCAGTGGAAGCGATCGCTTCTTACAAGGATGGTCTGAAAAATCGCTACTTCCATTATAAACTTCTTCGCTTACAGCAGACCATAGTGTTAAAGAGTTAGCACGGTCCAACAATATGTTGAAAAAGTCAATCAATAAACAATAGGAACTAAAGCCAGTATAATATTTAATCATGGAGCTTGACGCCTTGAAACGTTCCATACCAAATTTAGATATTGACAGCTTTGAAACTTGAGTTTTTAAATTCTCAATTTCTTTCAAAGCTTGCTCAAGTTTTTCTCCACCTGTTTTCACTACAATGCAGTAGTTGTGATCCACTTGAGTAGGATTAGTGGGTCAAAGGTCGGGGAAAGAGCATTACAGCTTCTTGTCTGTTTTATTCAATTTATTTTTGGACACGTAGTGGACATAACGATCGTTTTGCATTTTATGCTGGCACTCTTCTTATTGTTATTATTCTTCGTCACCATCATTATAAAATCGCTTTTCTCTTCGAATACTGGACCAATTGCTTTGAAATTTTCAGTGGTTGAAGTTTGAATTTTTCCTCAGAAGGCTATCACTTTTATTTATTTCAAATATTTCTGTTAGCTCTGTGATATTTGTTTTTGTTTGATATGACGTCACCGAATGTTCTGCGGTGCAAGATCATAATATCGAGTGAATCTGTATCCATTATCTTACAGATATGGTTGCGACCATTGAATAGATGGATGGCAAAGTTTAAGTTGCAACAAGACCACAGTGGCACAAGACCTCAGCTTGCGTGACTTGATAATACATCCTCAGTATTCATTTATTGATGCCTATCGTAATGACAAAGTAACTTGTGATAACTGTGGATTGGTGGAGATAAAGTGTCCATTGTGCTTGAACGAAAGCAACTTCAATACGGCCCTATCAAGAATTTTTTGTTTTGTTTCGGTAGGTCTGGTAGTGAAGGTTTCAGTCTAAAGTTGGACACCGATACTACAACCAAATACAGTTGCAAATGAAACTTAACGCTTCATGACTTGAGTCTAAAATTTTATTTCAAGCTAATTTGCAAATGGTATTCATGGTACCAAATGTATCACACACTTTACAGTAATTATAAATTATATTTGGAAAATGAAGCACATCAAAAATATTTTTTAAAAAACAATTGGTTTTATCTGCAGATACCAGGTTTATATTAAGGTTGACCATTTCAATGCTAAATTTTCCTTAGTCCAAAGGCACACTTGATTCGCAAAGATTTGTGAATGCGCACAGTAGACCAATTTGTCTAATGTTTTGATTCCATAGGCAGGAGGTTGTGGATCGGTGCTGCTCAGGATGGGATATTTTTTGCTTATAAATGCATATTACGTGTTTCACATGAATCCATCGAGCCCAGATTCGACTGTTTTCAAGGTCTGAAGGCTCCATCCAACTGCTTAATTTTATTGGTGCACGTGGGAATTTTCAGTGTGGCATGCCTGGGTCAGTTGGAGTCACTAACATCAAGATATCTATAAGCAAGGATAAGATAACCTGGAAGTAACATGCCATAATTTAGAGTAAAAAATGTATCTGCCTCCACAGCCCTTTCAAATGGAAGATATGATGCCTTGAGGGGTAATTTCTATCAAATATTTTACAGTGTTATGGTTCTTCTAGTGAAAATGGGTTTAGGCGGCTTCTTTTAAAGTGTGGTAGGTCTAGTCGAAAGACACATTAAGTTTATGCTAACAACTGCAAAGTGATATTGCAACGCATACAAGTTAACAGAATTTGTCGAAATGGTCCTGCCTTTTGCCTTTCCTCAAAATCCACATTTTTCTAACTATTCTTTTCCTCTCTGGGGATGGCGAAAATTCAAATATTGATGGGACATAATCAGCTGATATTGGGTTATCTTTCCTTTTTCCTGAAAAGAAATTACACACTAATCATCATTTGACAGTGCCAAGTTTGTGTATCAGATCAGTAATAGATTACCTGCTTTTATTTTCTTGTGATGTGTTTCAAACAGTGTAAAACAATACGAACAGATGCAGTACTGCAGTATGAACAGATACACAGTACGAACCAGGGGGATGAAACTAGCCGAAAAAGCCACGCCAACATTAATAAAACAAACAAAGTTATTCGCGTTACGAGTTTCTGCAGCTTCACGCTCCATTGCGATCACTTGATTTGCTCGGGGATTGGTGAAGACGGTGGTATGTGCACAAAATATCTCGCTGTATATTTTTAGCTCAGCAGCCTATAGTATTTCATTAAGTTGGTTCAATACTTTAAAGTGGATAAAACATCAAATGCCGATTGTCCATCTTAAGGGTGTCTCTTTAGTTTAATCCAAGATAGGCCCTAGATTAGATTTACCTTTGGCTTCAACTAGTAGTTTCCCCCGCAAGACAATGTAAGTACAACAGGTAACTTTGCGTTCTATGAAACACCTCAATACTGCAATATTCTACCCCGAATATCGTAAGCTAGGCTACTTTATTTCTTATGTTTTGTGAGTCCGGTACTGGGTTACGATATTTTAGTTACATACCCCATTCCCCCAGTCTAGGAGATATAATTCTACTATTATAACTTACGAATAACATACCAACACTATAGTATTCACAGATTCACCAAATACTATAAGTCAGAAAGTACCAATTCCTTTTTTCAAAGTCAACTCATTTTTTCTTTTAGGGTACTTTTTTTTAGAATTGCATAATTCAATAATTTGTATTATAGGCTATTTATTCACATCACTCATCAACATAAGTAGGCCTAATCGGTGTTGCGATAGTGTCAGTGGATCTTGCACCCTGTTTTTGGCACCATCCAAGCAATTTTGTTCCGGTGCAAAATTTATATGGGCAGACAAAATTGAAAAAAATGTGATTGGTCTATCTACAGGCTGATTCTGATATTAAACACCTGTATTTACGTGACGAGTAAAAATTTGTGAAGGGCACTTGGAAGAAAATGACATTCAAAAAAATAAGTTTAAGATTTTGATTTTATAATAAAAGAGAGGAATATTCAACAAAGCATCACAGTCACGTCACGTCTTAAAATTGGTTCAATACCCAAGATGAACGCCAACTTTGGATAGATTTCTCCAAAAAAGATCAAAGTAACTGAAAAAATGTCATAAAAATTTGCAAGACTTGAATAAATGTGCATCAACTTATTCACCCTTCAACTGGAAATACCAGGATTTAGAAGACAATATTCAATTTTTTCTCAAGCCCTAATCAGCTGCAGAGCAATCAAGTGTAGCTATAAACATTGATTCAGAGTCGGAGATCAGTGCAATTTATCATGGCTGGACTAGTGTAACATCGGAAGGACTAAATGATATTGATGTAAAAGAAACAACTTTATCAAATATCCTGCATATTATTTATACATCGATCATTTGTGAGGGGATAACTGGCAGCAGCAATTCCAGTTCTACAACAAGTCAACATTTTGAAGTGTCCTTTTCGAGATCTAATTCAAAAAATTTAAACCTCCACAGCTCAGATTGCTTGCTTAAAAGTATTACATATTTTCTCTAATCATCTGTTTCAAGAATGCACATTGTTCACCACTGGTGTTGATATCATCATGTTATTATCTTGAAAATTTTACAATTTTTTCACTCAAAAAGTACATAAATCAACTTCAGCTCATTCGCCTGAGTGTAGTTCTGTCTATTTAGGTGACCGTACATTTGAACCCATGCGTATATCCACGGGTTCAATCTATATGCGGGTGCTAAAACCCATGGGTTAGGGTTAGTATGGGTTTAACTATCCGTGAAACAAAAAAAATTCCATAGGTGCAATAGCATACAGGTGCAATTGTCATGGGTTCAAATGTACGTGGGTTCAAATGTAATGGAACCGTCTATTTATGCATCCACTAACAGTATCATCTTGCAAATGACTTAACAACACTGCTATATGGGCACTTCCTTCGAGCAATAATAAGAAATGTCTCTTATCATTATTTTAGATCACTAAATTGTGAAATATTTATTTATTCTGGGAAAAGATGCAAACAGTGTTTTGAAGATTTTCCTTGTTTTACTTCTATTACGAGCTCGAGGACTGATAGCCAAGTGAATATACATACACAGTGGCGCAGCCAGGGTGGGAGTTTCGGGGTCGAACCCCCCCACCCCCCCCCCCCCCCCTTTTGAATTTTCTGAAAAGTGAAAAAGTTGCCGAGAACACGTGCAATTGCCTTCTGCTAAAATCGCCGTTCGTTTTCATCAACGCGGCATGTTATTTATGCTGTGAACGCCCTTTACATTGGTGTTTATTCTCTTTAAATCACAAATTTGTGCCGCGGAAACAATGATAATTATTTTTTTTTGTACCCGCACGGAAATGTGAAAACTGAAAAAGCGTGCAATTAATTGCCTTCTGCTAAAATCGCCCATGTTTTCATCAGCGTGTTATTTAGGCCGTAAACGCCCTTACGTCGGTTTTTATTCTTTCTAAATCATAAATTTGTGCCATGATAAACATGATAATTATTTTATTTTTGTACTTTGCACGGAATTGTGAATTCGTGAGTTATTATTATAGGAGTAAAACCGCGATCTAAATTTGATTGGAAAGCGGCATTATAAAATACTGAAAATAAAACCGTAAACAATATAAGTTTTGTTGAGTCCCACGACAGTCTAAAAACGCTTTTCTAGTCGCAAAATTTCGTGTGCCTACGGCGCACATTATGTTTGGTCGCCGTTTAGGAACATACCGTCACTAAAATCGAAACACGGTTAATTGTGGGTGGGATTTGTCTTTATCCATTACTTTAAAATTGTCGTAGAAAATTTTTGTGTTATAATTAAACAAGGTTGAAAACACGATTTTTTCCCGGATTGTGATGATATATAAGATAATTAATCTGAAGTATATCCATCAATTTTTATTGTACTGAAATAAATTTTACTCCATGAGAATTTACAGCAGATTTACGGATTTTTCAGGAGGTTTTATCTTTAAAAATATTCAGTATTAAGTTTCAGCATTGCGATTGAAGGGAGTCAATGTTACAAGCACATCTCAAATTTGTCGAATTTGCAAAATAGAAAAAATACGGATCAAAACAATATATGATAGGCGACGGGCAGTTACCACAAATTTTTATGTCGGCCAATGGTCGAGGTATTTTGAAAATGTGAATTGTAAAAAATTGTTTTGTTTTGTCGACGCAAACGCTGGTTAAAATGAAGAGAATTAAATTAATAAAGCAAGATATTTTAAATATGCCCTTATCGGTCACGAATTGATTACTTTGCACAACAGAAAATTCATTTTTCGTTGTAAACGTCGGCTCTTTTAACAAGTGGCGTAATCGCGGCGATGAATATGTATTTTTGATTTAACAATATACTTCATATGCATTTTCATTGTACGAAATAAAATTGTACTTTTTGGGATTTTATATCAGTTATTGAGATTTTTCTAACGGCGATAACGAGTTGGCAAGATTCCAAAAATACGTATTAAAATTAAGTACACCGTTTATCTCATATTTTTATGTCCACCGATCGCCGTGGCATTTCAGAGAACTAATGTTTTAATTTTGACGTAAGAAGAAGCAACCGCGAGTTACGTCGAACACAATTAAACTAATATATAAAGACATTTTAGAATTTTGTAGTTGTCAGAGATTGAATATTTCACGCGACAAGAATAATCATTATACGCTGAAAAGACGTCCCTTTAACGAGCGCGTAATGCGAAGACTGTTACAAACCGCAATGGGAATTTATGATTATGACCCCCCCCCCCTTTTGAAAATCCTGGCTGCGCGCCCGTACATACACCTGTCCATAAGTTTCAGTTCCTTTACACAAATTGATGTAGGCGAACAAAATTAGTAGAGGATTGCCCAAATTTATATTTGTACAATTATTATTATTAAACAAACTTTAATGTGCGAAATTGAGACAAATCTGGTTGTGTGTAATTTGGTTCAATACCTGGCATAACTTAGTCGATCGACAAACCTATCTTTTTAGTCGAAGAAAATATTGTCTACAATTTAAAAAAAGATATGGTTGGCTTTGCTGACTTGGGAGATTCGAGAAAAAAGTTCCTGCACACAATGCACTGCAAGTTTATGCACATGATTTGATTGGGAAGTTTTCAAAGCCCTTGACGTTATCCGCTCAGACCATCTCGCCAGCATTCTCGGGAAAAGCGTTGGAGAATTCCCAAGAATGTGGGTTTAGGGCTCATCGCACTCGTTACTGATGGACTTGGTGCAAACCGTAAAATGTTCCAAGAGTTAAATAATTTGAAGTTAATTTTCCCCATATACATGTATCAATGGTCCTGATCGTTTCTTTTACTCAAAACAGTACGCAATAATGTGTTTGCGAGTCACGCTGGTGGAATTCGCCTATTAAAAAAAGATGACCATTTTTGTGCAGTACCATCCTTTAATCCCACTTGTGCTTGGCCAAATTTTGGATATAAACAAGGGTGCGGCCGTAATATGTGTACCAAGTTGGGGTTATCAGGTTGTGCGCTATCTTGGTACACATACTACGGGAGCGCCTAAAAATGCTCCAGCCATTCCATAGCATTGATTTGATTCCACAGCGACTGATTTGGTTTGAAAATAATTTTCATCCCAGAAATACGCAACTGAAAATCATCTGTCGCTGGGACAACTCAAACAGTTCTCCCTGTATTTTTATTATGCAACCTATATTGCCTATTGTCATGAAAATATATTATATTCCATGAAATGAACATTTGGTTATGAAAAATAGAATACTTTGTTTAATTACTGCTAAACTAATAAAAATAAAACCGAAATCACATCTAAACGCACTATATTGCAAAATAAAGTAAAAAGAGATCATGCCCTTCATCTACATTTATTTTTTAAGCAGTTTTCATATGGATAAATTCTGGTTCTGGCTGTTTGATGGCACCTTATTTTCAGGTAGAACTTACATAATTTCTCCAAGATGTCCAGCATGCTAATATCGTTTTGGGCAATACTAAATGATTCTATATTAAAATTTTCAAAAACTGTGGCTACAACACCTTCATGAGCATAGTTCCATCTAAATTCAATTTCAAGCAGCTTACATAGTTCAAGGACACTGAGCAATGGTACGGTTAAGCGTCCATATTCTGTTTCCTGCATTACTGCAACCATAGAGTCAGTTATCAAACAGTCCCGTTCGGGATTAAATAATGACTGAATTCTTTTGCAGTCTTCCGGGTCTTGGCATCGTTTTTGCATTTTTTGTAAAATACACCCAGCAATGTATTGGATTATATGGACCTCATCGTCATTCAATATGATAGTACTTGAATCTAGTAAATCTGGAAAACATAAGGAACAGGGGTGTAATATTAAGATATCGCATTATTGATTACCACGAATGTCAATGAAAGGGTGTCAATACTTAAAATCGATCAAGCGCCTGTTAAGCTGGTGCGCACAATGTATGAATCATGTAGTGCTTTATTGCCCACATCCAAAACCAATATTGCTCAGAAAACAGTTGCGTTTTATAGCCTTATGTATGAATAAAAAGCCAATTAAGCAATTTTTGCCAGTAAGTCATATGTTCCGTAAAATTAGGGTATCTAAACATATTCAAATCCAAACAAATATTAAGCACCGGACCTTTCGTTTTATCCATTTCTTTAGCTGTGAATCTATCAAATAATTTCCAGACAGACTGGAGGGTATAGTAAACCTGGAATACTCTGTTCCAGTGTGGGGATGCTAACTGCATCACAGCTGAAGGATAACATTTGATCACTTAGGACTTTTCTTCAGTAACAATTGTAAGTATTCGACCACATTTGGTAAAATAGGAACAGTGGCTGCAATGATCTTCCACTACAATTTTCCCCACACTAATATCTCTGCCTAAAAATGAAAAAAAATTCAAAATTATTTTGACAGATTTATCCCATGGTGTTTAAAAAATCTGCCCTTAATGTTTTATCTTGAGTTGTGGAAGTTGTATTAGTAATCATGAAATTTATGGAGGAGTCTACAATTATGTAAATATTACCTTGTTGCCACGCTGGAAAATAACTTTTGACACGTTGAGCACCTTGAAATAAAACATAAGTTATTTTTTATAAATCACTGAATAAGTTGTTTATTAGCAAAAATATTGTCATGAAAATATCCATTTAAGTATGTGTTATCTATAGAATAAAAACCAGAAAATATATTGATGATAAGATAATTGAATGCATGATCTGTTGGTGGTCCTGCATTAAACCTCTCATAACACTTTTTTGTCCTCTGTAGCTCTCTTCTCAATAGCTGTCTTACTTTTGCTCATTCAAAGTAAACTTTTCTTCCATTGCCTCGTCAAGATCTATAAATACTGTCAGTTAATGATCCTCTAACATGAATGAGTCTAGTACGGGGCTGACAGGTAATGTCTGAATGTATCATCAAATCCAGGATCTGATTCAGGGATTTAAACTCGGCAGCTCTGTATGTCATATATTAGCACATGGTGACTCCCTGAATAGTCACCCGCTAAGCGGCTAAGGGAAACACACTAATAGTATATATCTAACGTATAGAAATGATAGACTTACCTTTATTAGTCATAATAGCCACTTATTATATAACAACTACAGCTCGTGAGTCCGATGCGACCAACAGATGTGGTGAAACTGCAGCAAAACGCTGGGAACTCGAGTGGGCGTTAACGAATCAAGTTGCCGCAATGGAGCGTATCGCGTCAGACACTCCTCATTGGCTAAGGCTTTAGTTGCGCATCATGGTATGTTAGTCGTTGGTACGAACAGATGCACAATACAAAGAAGTACGACAACAATACAGCAGTACGGTTTTCTGAAATAATATGAAAATAATAAATACACAAATAATAATAAGTTCGGGGCAGTATCGTATCAGTAGGCCTATACTATTGTAAACAAACCTTAAATATCTATATTACGTCACACAATCACCTAATGACCGAATATGGCATCACTAACGGTTATAATAAATAAATTACCTCTGCCGGCACTTTCAGGCCTGACAGGAAAACAAATACAGACCATGTACAACTTAGAATACAAAACTATATGTATAAATTTACTTGACGTTGTGTCCTCAAGGGTCGTCAAGCAGTAACTTGAACATTAAATCACAATATCTTGATTGAATTACTTAGCAATATTACAATAACAACTGTGAGGAATATCAATAATACACTATTATTAGCAGTACAAATAAATACCCTACATTTTACTAACACTACAAGCCTAAGTCGTTCACTAATTAATCAATTATAAACCCTAGAATAACACTCTCAGACCGACGTCAAAACAGCCATCAGCCAGAAACTTCCAGAACCCTGCAGCGTGCGCGGTCCCGTGACGTCACTTCCACAAAGTCATTGTGGTGCAATAACCAAGCATTCGATGAGCTGGTCCTTGGCGTCAACTTGCGGGAGAAATAATTATACTTCAAGATATTGGCGGTAACACCCTGGCCCCTTGGAAATTGAAAATTTGTGTCCACATACACCAATTTACAGATTTCCACACACACATTTAAACAAATAACAAACACACCAAATATAACGAAATTGTGTCATACAAAAGAAATTTTATGCACAAGCTAACTTGCTAATTACAAGCATGCAATAATATAAGCTTTGTAACAGGTCTTTGAAGAACAGAAAATTGGGTCTGAATCGAACAAGACTCTCCTTGCCAGGGAAAGTCTTAATTACTCTGCCCAAAAGCCAGGTGTTTCGTGGCAAGTTATGATCCACAATGAGAACAATATCGTTCTCACACATATTACGTTGGGGTTTGTTCCACTTTTTTCTTTGTTGTAAAAGAGGTAGATATTCCTTTCTCCATCTTTGCCAGAAAATATCTGCCATATACTGGACCTGTTTCCATCGTTTCCTCGAATACACATCCTTTTGTACAAACAAACCTGGTGGAAGAACAGGTTCCTGTTTTAATAACAGCGATGAATTTGGAGACAGCGGTGTCAAGTCATTCGGATCACTTGAAACTGTTGTAATTGGACGTCCATTTATAATAGATTTACATTCACACATTAAAGTGCATAGAGCCTCATCGCTTAAAGTTTGTTCCCGACAAATTGAATTAAATACCTTTCTGACAGTCGGAATTAGGCTTGCACGTAACTTAGGATTTACGGAATTACGGAATTATTTTGAGTTACGGAAGCGAAGTTACGAATTACGTCAAGTCGTAATTATTGGTCGAGCGCTTTCGCGATTGAAACGAGATCTCTTCAGAGCAGTCAATTCCGTCGATTGTAAAAAATTAAAGTTTAAGTAAAAGAAGTTAGAGTTCCGGTATTCGCAGCCGTTTTTCTCTCTCTTGTTAGGCAGATGGGGAAGGCACAACGCGTCATTTACCAACCTATTATCAACTTATCTAAGATGGCAAATGTCCATATTAACCGTAGATAAGGAATAGAATTGTGTTGAGACCGATGGACGCCAACACACCTGGTTTCAACTTCTTCGGGTGAAATGACTAAAGAATGTAAGAGATCAACTTATAAAACAAGGTCTATTTGTAAATGCCGTGATAATGTCGCGCTTATAGAACAGCAATATAAAGACGGAAGAGAAATTGCGTAATGAACCAACGCAACTTAGTCTTTTCGGCATCGGTAAAGCGATTAGGACGGCAGAGAAACAACAATACGACGGGAATTTCCGTGTTTATTCTGCGCGAGATCCATTTTCTATTACAAAATCTTGATGTTCTGTTACCGATTTTATCGTTATATATCTGTCCGGACTTGGCATTGCTCAATACGTTTTTCACAATGCCTCGCAATATGTCGGCCAAATATGATTACCCGTCTTTATTAAATGTGGCAACTTATTTTGATTTATCGTCGACTCGAACACCACCGGCACTCGACCAAACTTGTGTCAATCTTGGCAAATAGGATTGTCGACTTGAGTTAGAAAAATAAATAAATATTTTCATGAGTGCAAAATAAATGTCACAAAATGCATTGTTTTGCGATATAACTTTGTATTTTCGAGAAGGCATGTCATATAAGTAGGGTATTTTAAATAATGCGCAAATAATTAATATTTGATCTAAATTTATCGCGAATAATATTGTAACATTTAGGCCGCGAAATGATTTAATGAAAATGAAGCATGGAATTCGGAATATCGTCAATAAGTCGGCATCAATAATTATTATAAAATGCTAACTAAGTAGTAACGTCGGATATTGTAAAAAACGGTGAAATAACAAGTCTTCGTCGCGAGGCAAGCGAAAATATAATCAAACGAGAGAATACGCTTGTAGTTGATTAATAAATTAGCAACCCGGAATTTTTATTTAATACGAAAGTCGTATTAATACGTTAATACGATTTTAAAAAAGTGAACTATCGTTTCTTAAATATATTACCAGTGTTGGTAATGATAAAATTGATCGCATAAAATTTGGTGATAAAGTTGATAAATGAAAATCAAAGCTAATACAAAAGATAAAAATCAGAATAAAATTATTTTGAATTCACTCCTTGATATTTGTTTTTAACATCTGTCGCCGGCGTGTAGTACTGCCGGGAAAATGAAAACCAAACTTCGATGTCCCATTCGGAATAGTAGTGGATTAAATTGGTTGTTATGATAGGTTTAAATGTGTGATTACGGGGTCATTACGTAATCGATTTGGACGTAATTACGGAATTGATTTTTGTCAATTACGTGCAAGCCTAGTCGGAATTTGTCTTTCAATAACACCACCATGATGTGAAGCGGAAGGTGTTTGAAATATCCATTTTATATTTTTCTGAAGCAGAAAATCATGACCTTGCTTCTGATTCCAACATTTTATTGCTTGTCTAAGTTCATGTTCAGCGGCTACAAAATATGAACCATTGACACTTCGAATTTCCAACACTTGACCTCTACGAGAAACAAATCTCCTTAAAGCCATTATAAATGAGTCCATGTCCAAATTTTGAGCTATTTCCACATGCACTGCGCGGGTAGTTAGACAGGTGAAGAGAACCCCATATCGCTTAACATCACTTCTTCCTTGACGAATGAAAAAGGTCCAAAACAGTTCAAAGCCACATATGAAAATAGTGCTTTATCAGGAGTTACTCTATCAACAGGCAAATCCGACATTTCTTGATATTCGGGTTTACGCTGCTTTCTTCTGCACAAGACACAATTGTTGATAATTGTCCTCACTAATGAAGTCCCCTTTACAATCCAATAGTTCTGCCTAATTTCAGCAAGAACATATTCTCGTCCATTGTGTCCAGTTGTCCTATGAATATAATCAACCATCAGGGATGCAATAAGACTTTCTTTTGGTATAACAATTGGATGCTTAGCATCATAACTAATTGGCGCATCTTTGATTCTGCCTCCGACACGAAGAATATCATTTTTCAAAAAAGGACGAAGCGAAATCAAAGTGCTTGATTTGGGAATTTCTTGATTATTTGACAGCAAACGTATTTCTTTGCCGAAAAATTTCGCTTGTTCATGCTTGATTATCTCCAATTCCGCATTTTGTAGCTCAGCAACAGAAAGTGGTTGAATACGATTTTCTTTAGGCAGGTTAGAAGGCAACTCATTTGCATTAAGTTTTGGAAACAACATATTTTTACCTCGTAATATCCAGGCAAAAGATTTCTTCAGACGAAACCAGTCTGAATATTTTAAAATTATACGATCCAGGACCGATTTATCCGTGGAGCAATCGTTCATAAAATCAGGCTGTGAAGGCCATTCCTCAGCAGCCTGCCACAAAAAATCAGGACCAGGTTTCCAGTATTGGCAATTCAAAAACACATCAACTGAGAGCCCCCTTGAGGCAACATCTGCTGGGTTCAGTTGTGAAGGTACATAACGCCATTGTTCAATTTCAGAAGTTTCCTTTATCAAGTTTACTCTATTGGCCACAAAAGTCTTAAATACTTTATCTGTATTTGCCAGGTATCGATGAACAGTTGTACTGTCTGTCCAAAAATATGAAGCCGAAATTGGAAGTTTGAGTTCTTTTTTCAGAAAAGCGTCATTTTTAGCAGAAATTGTTGCTGCACAAAGTTCGAATCGTGGTATTGTTGAACCATTCAAAGGGACAAGTCTGGTTTTTCCACTTATAATAGCACAATGAACTTGTCCGTACGTATTCGTAAGTCTAATGTAAGACACAGCACCATATGATTTTTCAGAGGCATCTGAAAAATGATGAAGTTGTATATCGAATATGTTACCAAAATCTTTTGGTGTATTACTGTGTATAACATCTTGGTACATTGAAATTCTTCAATTTTGGTAAATCAGAGAGCCATTTTGACCATTCTTTCTTCAATTCTGGTGGAATAGGATCGTCCCAATCAAATTTCTTCCTACATAAATCTTGAATCAAAACTTTCATAGGTTGAAGAACTGGCTGACCGAAACCAAGAGGATCAAAAATAGAATTGATAGTCGACAACAATCCTCTTTTTGTAGCAGGTTTATCCTTATGTTTGACACGAAAGCACAAAGTATCTTGTTCTACATCTCAAATCATACCAAGTGCCTTTTCCACTGGCAGATCATTCACTGAGAGATCCAATCCTTTGACACCTTTTGCACGATGCTCTTCCGGAATTGACAGCAAAACAGCTCGATCATTACTGACCCATTTTGTTATTTCAAATCCACCTTTGGATACTAAATTTCTTACATTTTTGACATGATCTATAGCTTTCTCAGCATTGGGTTTTAGATCCAAAAAATCATCAACGTAGAAAGCATCATAAACAATCTAAAATCTTCTTTATTATCATCAGCAGTCCTTTTCAAGGCAAAATTGGCACAGCTGGGTGAGCAGATTGTACCAAAGAGAAACGAAGTCATTCTAAAGCAGACCACAGGTTGTGAGACATCGCCATTTCGCCACCAAAGAAATCTCAAAAAATCTCTATGAGGTTCAGAAACTTTCACTTGGTGAAACATTGCTCGGATGTCTCCTTGAATAGCAACAGATTGTTTTCGAAAACGAGCCAGAACACCAACCAAATTATTTGCAAGATCTGGCCCCTGTAACAGAACGTCATTCAAACACAGTCCAGAAAATTTAGCTGAACAATCAAATACAACACGAAGGCTTTTCTTTTCTGGGTGGCGCACTCCGTGGTGACTAAGATACCAAGTTTTACCATCACATTCCCTGAATTATTGACCTTCTCTGCATAACCATTATCAATCATATTTACAAAACTTTTGTATTCATTGTAGAAATCCGGTTCTTTTAAAAATCGTCTTCTGAGATATTCTAATCTTTGTTCTGCATGACTTTTGTTTTTTGGCAAAATCACATTAGGATTTTTAAATGGAAGATCAATTTCATAATGTCCATCCGTTGTCAAATGAATAGACTTATTCACTCTTTTCATGAAAATTTCTTGATTAGGGGAAAATTCTGGTTTTTCATTTTGTATCGAATCGACCACTTCAGTGCACATTTTACAAAGTGGGTGCACACTAGATTTGACGAAAAAATTGGAATTTGATCTTTCAACTTTTATATTTCTGGGAGGACAGCTAATCATCCATCCAGCAGGGCATCTCACAGCAAAATATTCATTTGGCCCGTGTACAATTTCCAACGGCTTATGTAGAGCAAAATTATCTTTTCCTATCAGCAAGCCAACTTCTTGATTTAGCCTGGGAATTACCACGTCCTTGAATTCCCGAAACTGATCCTTCTGTGTTGGAATATTTGAAACATCAATATCGATGCATTTATTAGAAAATAGTTGACCCAGTGCAATAAAATTAGATTCATCAAAATGGGATAGCTCAATGTCATCAATAACAGAGCTTTTCCTTGGTTCAGTCACATTTGAAATAGTACGAATATTTAAATTTGTTTCATGACCAGTGGCTGCTTGTGACATGTTATAAATTGGAATTGTACCTGTATTTGAACTAAAATTGCTAGCAAAATCAGTGCAAGAATAAGTCATGCAATTACTGGTAGGTGCATTATCACTGGTAGCAGAAGCAGCAAAATAACTTGAGCTAGCAGTACAGGTAGGACATGCAGCATATGAACTCATACGAATAGGCTGATTTGATTTGCAAGCACATTTTCTGGATTCACAGCAGAATCTATTTGTTTAGGAATTATTATTGAATTGTTAGCATTATGTGATGCAGTACTAGCCACAACCATACATTCACTCACACCAAGCATACTGGTAGTGGTAGTATGTGGACAACAAATTTCAAAACCAGGGGAGGATGAATAAACCGACATACCTTGATCCCCACCAATAGCAGGAACGGAATGCGAAACATCCCCCAACGTGTAACTTGACTGATTTGCAGTTGTTAACATGGTCTGAGATGGCACAGTAGATTGAATATTATTTTCAATTGTAGCGTGGGAATTAGATATTATTTCAGGTGAGATACATTCTGTATCTCGTTACTATTTGACACATTTGTACAGGTGCCAAGGAACAGTTCACTTCCATTTGCATCGGAAATGGCAGGAAGGTCAAAAGGTAACCCCCTCTCTGCCATAGCTTCCGTAAAGTCAGCGTCCAATTCTAACTGGGTGTGCTGATCTCTTCGTTTTAGTTCATTTAGTTCTCTTTCTTTGCGTTTTTGGAAACTTTCCTTTTCAAGTTGACGCTTTCTTTTATTTCTTCTAATTTCCTTTTCATGTCTTCATCTTCTTGTCGCATCTTCTCATTCCACTCCGTTTCTTCTTGTGAAATGGGGTCTTGCAGTTGAATCTTTTCCAGCTCAACCTTTTTTTGTAGATTTAATTTTTTTGCTTTGTAAATATCTTGGATTTGAGAGTCACTGTAAGTGGATACCCGTGACATTACTGATGATGCAGTTCGGATACTTCGAGATCGTAACGAACCCCCAATACTATAAACTTTTGATTTTTGTGAAACACTGTGACGTGATTGAGCACTATATTTTGATTTCGCTCTTGTGGTCATTTGGTGAACATTCATTTGCTTATCTTCGGCATTGAAAGATGCTACGGACTTCCCTTGTTTATTTGTTTCATTTTCTATTTGGGAAATCGAATCCACATCAGACGAACTTCGGAAAAGGTCATGAATCGAGCCACTACCGGAACCAACAGGAGATAATATTTTTTCAGCAGCGACAACTTAAGGGTCAACTGCAGGCTCTTTCATTTGTGATGACAGTGTTATTGGAACTTGGGACGGTTCTAAATCATCAGATTCTTGTTCTAGCACCATTTCTCGTGCATTTTGAAAACTTTGTACATCTTCTTCAGTATATTGAACTGGATTTGACTCAGCCATAATTTTATGTCCACTGATAAAGGCCTTTAAAATTTTACAATTGTCAATACTTTAAAGAAGCGTCAAAAAACTTTATGTTGGCGCAGAGCCTTGATTAAATCTTAATTGTGGAGCGCGGACTCTGCCCACATAGGATGTACAGATGGCCAATACCAATACTCTTGACGACCAGGTTGCACTCCCAAAAAGACGCGTACTCTCACTGTATCAGCATAAGATGTTTTATTTTCTTGTGATGTGTTGCAAACAGTGTAAAACAATACGAACAGATGCAGTACTGCAGTATGAACAGATACACAGTACGAACAACGTAGTAGTCTACGAACAGATGCACAATACAAAGAAGTACGACAACAATACGGCAGTACGGTTTTCTGAAATAATATGAAAATAATAAATACACAAATTATAACAAGTTCGGGGCAGTATCGTATCAGTAGGCCTATACTATTGTAAACAAACCTTAAATATCCTTATTACGTCACACAATCACCTAATGACCAAATATGGCATCACTAACGGTTATAATAAATAAACACATAATTACCTCTGCAGGCACTTTCAAGGCCTGACAGGAAAACAAATACAGACCATGTACAACTTAGAATACAAAACTATATGTATAAACTTACTTGACGTTGTGTTCTCAAGGGTCGCCAAGCAGTAACTTGAACATTAAATCACAATAATCTAAGCGTTAGGAATACGCTCGCCACCGCACCTCTAATTACTCTGCGTGGGTTCGCTGGTTCGAATCCCATGCAGGGATGGTTATGTGCGAGAGGATTGCTGGACTCCTCGCCGTCGTTGGGTGGTTCACGTAACCGCTGGTCGGTTACGGCTTCCTCCACCACCAAGTCCATGATTCCGAAAACAAATAATACAGTAAAACTAATCCCATACCCGACTTGGAATGGTAACCGGACGAGAGGCCGTGGTTCGCCATATGGATAAGCCGTCTTATCGGCTTTCCTCTCCCCCGGGGTAAATATGTAAATCCTATCCTATCCTGTCTTGACTGAATTACTTGGCAATATTACAATAACAACTGTGAGGAATATCAATAATACACTATTATTAGCAGTACAAATAAATACCCTACATTTTACTAACACTACAAGCCTAAGTCGTTCACTAATTAATCAATTATAAACCCTAAAATAACACTCTCAGACCGACGTCAAAACAGCCATCAGCCATAAACTTCCAGAACCCTGCAGCGTGCGCGGTCCCCTGACGTCACTTTCACAAAGTCATTGTGGTGCAATAACCAAGCATTCGATGAGCTGGTCCTTGGCGCCAACTTGCGGGAGAAATAATTATACTTCAAGATATTGGCGGTAACAATCTGTAATTGCCCACCCCTGGTTTTAGAGACTTCTACATAGCCCACTGTCCACCACTGATATAATATAAGTACTCATAAATATTCTACATCAGGCCTGCCAAATCTTTTTCCTCTCGCGAGCCACTTTCACATAAGGAAATTCGTTGCGGGCCGCAAACGTTTGTACCAAACTTTAATACCAACCGAGTCCTGATTTCGTTAGAATTTATATAATACATAAAAGGCAAGATTATTATTAACATAAAATCAATCACGTTAATAAGTATTTACTGCATGATCACTCATTAGTGCTGGCGAAATATTGAAATATGAAGTCGAATATTAAAATAGCAGTTTAATATTTGAATATCTGGTAACACAAGGCGTGGACATGACACTCGCGGGCCGCTGAATCAAAAAATCAATTACACAACGCACTTGTGAATTTATGACGACCACGCGAGAATCTGCACCGAGTTACTAACAAACAAAGACGTAAAAATTGAGTCTTATATTTGAGTCATGGTGTTTAATTATTTATTTATTTTCAGTGGCTATGATATTGTCTCAATGGGCGTAATGTGCGCCAATGTCGCGGAAACATCAAGTTTTGGCCGTTTCGTGAAATTTGAAACATCAATACAAGTATTTAATAAAAAAAACATTACAATAACTTTTGGACGAATATACCGTATATACTAATTTAAATATGTAGAATTGTCAATTTTATCAGAATTATTGACGGATACGCAGTGACGATATTTCCGGCATTTTATTTAACGCAAACATAACATATATATACAAACATAAAAGATAAACGAGTTTCGGAGCCAGCAGCAAAGATTATTGTTGACTATTTATTTTACGTTGGCGATAAAGACGATCAAAGCCTGCACGGAGAAAGCAATCAGAATGAAACTAATTTGAAAATTTAGGTTCCAAATTCATTCCTATAATTGCCCTCAGCGTTCGTCACCTATGATCGCACAACATCTTTCAAGATCGTCGAACAGAACGCACAGTTCTGCCCAAAAAACGAACATCGATGTCCACCAGGGCGTAAGACTTGATCCATAAAACGTAATAATAAGAATCGGCATCCGGATATAGATGGATGGCGGGAATATTCACATCAATACCACGAAACATACTTAAGCCTATTTATAACAGTAAAAAAATTATTATAGTAAAAAATTGAAAAGTCTGCTTACAAAATTTATTGGACGGGCCGCAAAAAACAGTCAGTCGGGCCGCGGGTTGGGTACCCTTGTTCTACATACACTCACATCTTTGCTTCAATATCTTCTTAAATCCCCTGACGGTATTGACTTGGAAATTTTCCAAAATATTTGTCGTTTTCACTTTTTGACTTCTTCTCAATAATTATTATTTCCGTTTTTTAGCGGCTTGAATTGCAACTCAAAAGTTATCAAGAGTCAGCTAAAACAGTAGAGAATGACAACATCTTCTGACCATTGATGAAGATTTCTTGATGAAGATCAGAGATGCGGTGGCGAGCTTATTCCTAGATGGCAAATTCAATTGAATTTTGGTTGTTTTTTGCACTGGCTTTAAACTTTAGTTATCTATTCAACTTTTCACACTTACTAATAGATTACCTGCTAACTAGGAAAACAATACCGTACCTTGTGGCAATTGGTGAATAATTGCTATACAAAAGTCAAGTCTGCATGTAGACAAGCAAGTAGGCCTACGCCTAGGCCTACCAATAACAGAATAACAGTAGTTTGTCATCTGCTTTCCATTGAAATGAGGGAGCTTATGAATATTTGAAGAAATTGATAACGGCACATTATCACTCACCATCAACGAAGTGTTGTCCGCAAACTGTGAAACACAAGAGAGATGACTTCTGGACTTGACACCGAACAGTCCTGCCAATAGATGATATCCACATTGCGCGACGTTCCGGATCTTTTTAAAACAGTGGAATATACCTGAAGATCCATTTCGTTGTCTACACCAGCGTTTCCCAAACTGTGTTCCGCGGAACACTAGTGTTCCGCGAGCATCTTCGAAGTGTTCCGTGGAAAAGGAGTAAAAAAACGTCTTAAATAGTCGCCATGGAGATCTATGGCGGGGCTTCCCAAACTAGGGGCCGCTAAACGAAATTTAAGGGCTGCAAAGAGAACACCAATTTTACAAAACTTCAAAAACGCATATTTCGAACTGTTTACCATTATTAACGAGGACAAGGGCCGCGACGCGAGCTCAAAAGCTGATCCATGGAACGTGGAGTTGTCGCCCAGCTGAC